CCACCCTACTCCCCACACCCTCCAAGCTCCCGCAGGATCCACAGCCCCCCGCTTCTCAGTCCCCGTCCTCCCCGAGGGCTGCACGCGGATGGGGAGAGGGCCTTCGCTCAACTTCCAACAAAAGCCACCCTTGGGGCCAGCCACCTTGTGGCTTCCAGCTGGGGAGGAGGCCCCACCCGCTGGCCCCCTCTGTCCCAGGTGAGGGCCCTCCTCCCCTCCCCAATCAGCTCCCTCCCCTCCTTCCTTCCCAAGGCCTACTCTGCCCGCAGCCTCACACACTAGATTCACAATAAATAAAGCCCATAACCCACCCCTGCGGTGCAATGTTGGGTTGATTGACTTTCGGAGGATCCTGACCTGTGCTTTGTGTTTTCATACAGTTAAGAAAGAGAGAGAAAGAGAGGCACAAGGACTTAGAAGGGGACCAAGGAGGGGGAGATGCAGGGAGGAAGGAGTAAGGCACAGAAAGACAAGCCAGAGGGGCCAAGTCACACCCTGGAGCCAGGCTGGGCGTGCTCGTGCTCCCTCCCTCCCAGGGGGGGCTTCTGAAGACCCTCTGGAGAGACCCCCAACCTTCCCTTGGGGAGGTGAGGGCTGCAGTGGGGGGGAGCTACTTCCTGTGGTGTGTTACCAAATTGTTCCCAAGTTGCTCAAATGGAGGAGTTCCCAATTGCAACAGCAAAAGACCCGAACAATGAAAGCCCCACCCCGAAATAAAGAGTAAAGACATTACAGCTGAAATTCAGAGAGAAGTGGCAACGGGGGTGAGGGTGGGGGAGGTATGGTAGGAAAAGTTGGGGAGGACAGAGAAAGCTCCAAAACACTTTTGAAAAAGGACGACACCCAACACCCTCCAAAGGAACTGAAAGTGGGCGAGCAGGACGCCTACCTAGCGCAGGTGGCGGCTTAGCAGAGGGCAGTGGCGGCTGCCCGATCTCCTCGCTCGGATCCAGGGTCCCCTTTCTGCTCCACTCTCCGGGCCCGGCCACAGCAGGGCTATCTGCATGAGGGGCAGGGGCAGGGACCAATGGGGTGTCGAGAGGGCACCTGCATGCGGGCTGGGGTGTGGGGGTAATCTGGGGCCCATCTCCCTTCACTTGGGCCATGGCAGGAGGCTGACCTTCCCAGCCTGCCAGCAGAGGAAAAGGGGGCCCGTCCCAGGCTGCGACGGGACCTTCGAGAACATTCTGACTTTTTCTATGGACTGTACAGGGGGAGTCTGGGGCTCCCTACCCCTGTGGCTCAGGGTGGGGTGGCAGAACACCCTCCATTCTGGGAGCACAAAACTAGCTCCAGGGGACACCCCCTGCCCACCCGGGGCTTCTAGCTCAAGGGTGGGTCAGGGGAATGCGGAGGCCACCCTGCCACACCCAGTCCGGAGCAGCTAGGGGAAAGAAGCCAGAGGTGAAGGTGGTGTGGGAGGGTTGGGGATGGGGTCTGGAGGGGAGCACCCTCTGGATCTGCACCCCTCATCTTTACAAGCTGGTCCTCTGAGCTCCCTAGTGAAGCTCTGGCCCCAGTCGAGGGTGGGATTCCACCAAGAAGGGCGAGGATGGGGTATAGGCCCCTTCGGAACGGTGCTGGTTGCTTTGTTTGGGGATTTCCTTCCTTCCCCAGAAGGCCGGGATGGGATGGGGAAGAAGGCAGTTCTGCTGCATCCTCTCTTTTTTTCTGTCCTCTGCTTGGCAGAGTCCGTTTTGCATGTTTCTTTCTGCTTGGCTGCTGGTGCACAGCTCCGCTGAGACCTCTTCTGAGGGCTCTCTGAGAACTGGGCTGCTTCAGGGGGCCTGCAGCGGTCCCTGGGCTGGAGGAGAGAAGGGCTGAGTGGCTGACGACGTCTAATTTTTGCTTTTCGGTGGGGTTGGGCTGGGCTGGGGGATTTTTTTCCACGTCTCAAAATTTCTTCTCCCCCCGTTTAAGGAACCTCTTCTTTTCATTTTGTCATTTCTTTTGTCGATCTTATCAGAGGAACCAGGACTGAAGCGGGACAAAAAAGAGGCAATATTGAGAACAGCAGGGTCAGGTCCCTGCTCACTCCCACCTGGCCCTATGACTGTAGGTGGTGCCTGAGGCCCCCGGAGGGCCAAACTCCAGTGGAGCCAGGGACACCAACACCCCATGCAGAAGTACATCCCCATTCTGTCGGTCCCTCCTGCGGGAATCCTGCCCCCCCCAAAGACCCTGCCCCCCAGTGCTAGAGTCCAGCTGGCCTTCCCTTGGGCGCTGTGCCCAGCGGGTGGGACCCCCATGGCTGGCACTGGCACAGGCACAGACCTGGGATCTGGCCATGTTTCCAATTGTTTAGGTTTTTGTGTAGGTCCTGGAAGATGGGGTGGGTGCCAGGCTGGAGCTTTTGTCCCCAGCAGTGTTTTGGGAGTGGGGTGGGGGTGGCCCAGCTTCTTGCTGAGTTTTCTTTCTGTCTCTTTGGATTAAAAGCAGAAATTCCCGTCTGTACACCCCAGCCAAGGTCCCACAGGCTGAATGGCTGGGGAAAGGGGGACACCACATGGCTTCAGGCTCCACTAGTGATAGGCCTGTGGGAGGGGCCATAGACACACACCCCTTTGATTCTCTATCTTCAACAGGGCAACAGCACTAGGGAAGGACCTGAGGCTTCCTGGGGCAGGTGTCACTTCCCTTATGGTGCCAGCAGGGGGCGCCGCCTTCCCACAAACGGGCCTTGGTGACCACTCAGGACAAAACATACCTAGGATGGACACCCCCCCGCCCCCCCCCCCCAACACTGGGATGCCTGGCAATGACCTTCACCAAAGGCCAAATGACCTCGTGGCCAAAGGGCGGTGGGTGGGTGGGGAACATCTTTCATGGTCTGCAGTGCCTGGGTACACCTGGTGGTACGCTTGGGGCAAAATCCCTGAAAACGCATCTCAGGGCATCTCCCAAGCTCTGGGTCACAGACTCAGCTCTGCAGGGGCCAAGCGGAGCTACCACAAAGCACACAGCAGAACCTGACGCATTCTACCCTCACTCTAATGCTGCACAGAAGCAGGTGAAGAGAGGGTGTCCGACCTGCCTGAGGCCACAGGCTGAGTGACGACGCAAATGCAGGAGGAAGTTCAGAGCAGATGTTCCTAAAAGCTACATGTGGCGTGCTCACAGGGTTTGCGGTGGCCAGAATGCCTGCACCCTGCCCAAGGCCAAGGCTGCCACGTCACAGTGAGGGCCTGGGGCGGTGGCTACATCAGCCACCTTTTCAAAAGAAACCAAAGGTCCAGATAGAATTTCATGTGAAAATTTCTGTTATTTAAAACTCATTTCGGTCACACGGATTCTGTCTGCAGGCCAAACCTGCCCCTCAGGATCTGGTTTGGGACCGCAGGCTGTTTTCTACTATGAGATAGAGACATCGAGCTTTACAGTTAGAAAAGGCCTCAGAGATCATCTAGAACTTTCTGCGACAATGGAAATGTTCTCTATTGGTGCTGTCAAGTGCAGTAACTGCTAGCCACCCGTGGCTTCTAAGTACTTGAAAATGTGACCAGTGTAACCGGGGGATTAAGTTTTTCTCTAGTTATTTAATTTAAATTTAAACAGCCACAGGTGGCCAGTGGCTATCCCACTGGATGGGGTGCAGCTGGAGGGCATTTGGAAACGTGGCAGTTTGGGGTCATCACAGTGATTGGGGTGCTGTTGGTGCTTACTGGGTGGGCAGAGGTGCTAAATGTCTTGCCACATGCTGGACAACATGCACATGCACAGAGACCTCTGCCCAGAGTCCAATCCCATCAACCGACTAAAGGCCAAAGGGAGGCTCACGGGGGCCTGGCAAGGCATGGGAGAAACCCAGGCCTGGGCGTCCCCAATGTGGAAGGGGAGAGTCAACAGCCAGCTCCTGGGCTTCCGGTTCTAGATGGCAGAGGTGGGGAGCTGCCTGGGTGAGCCCCGTATCCAGCCTTGGTGCTCTCTGGAACCCCCTTTCCCAGGGAAGACTACACTGGAACCTTATACTAGTGCCCTGGCTGTGAGCCTGCCCCTCCCTCTCCCTGTGAGGGGAAAGGAGGCTTGGGGACAACCAGGACAGGGAGGACCTGCTTGGCCCCTCTGCCCTTGGTTGACCAAGCCAACACCCTAGGCTGGCCCCTTTGGGGTCTCCTGAGCTGTATGGCAGGGGGACAACCACCAGTGCTCCCCCAGAGGAGGAAGACTTCAGTTCCAGGCCTGGAGTTAGGGACAAAGGCGGCTCCAACGGGGTCCCCAGCACCTCCCCGCCAGTCCCAGGAATGGGGATCTGCTGCCAAGCTCGGAGTGGCTTTTCGGCTCTCCCCTCCCTGCTTCCTGAGCCAGGTCCAAAATTGATTAAAACTAAGTAAAAAGCGCTGCCCAGGGAATGACAAAATTGCTAAAATTTTCTTTTCTTCCCTCATTCTATTGTTCTCTCTCCATCTGGTGCTCCAGAGATCAGCTAAAGTCACTGGTTACTGTGGAAACCGCCCCCCACTGTACTCCTGGCGCCCCACCCCACCTCCCCACCCCCGCCCGCTGCAGCCGCTTGCTTGCCCCCAGGCCCAAGGGCTCCCAGCTAGGCTTGTCCAGCTATGGTCCCCCCACCACCCCTGAACACACCTGCCCGCTTCAGGCTCGGGGCCCAGGCCCCTTGTGGGAACAACAGGGAGAAAAACTGTTTCCCAAACTTGCTTCAAACTCTGACTTGGCCCCAACGTCCAAGCAAAGTGAGCAGAGAAAGTGCAGAAGGGAAAGCATATGGAGGCAGAAACAGGGCGCGCAGGGAGCGCTCGTGGCTCTGGTCCCCAAGAGTGAGAGGAGAGCGAGTAGGAGAACATACAACTGCAGGCAGCCAGCCGGCAGCGGGAGGGAGGGAGGGTAAGAGCGATGGAGGCCTGCTGCCTGGTGCCAGCCCAGAGCTGGGAGGGGAGGCCTGCCCGAGGTCCCTTCCTCTGGCACCCCCTCCTGCTCTCTGCCAGCAGGGCTCTCTCGGGCTCCCTGGCACAGAACGGAGGGGGCTGGCTCCAGCCCCTGCTCGGAGCCATTGTTTTTCTTCTCAACACCCCCAAGTTCAAGTTCATCTGGGTGTTACATCATGTCTGGTTGCTCCTGGAAACCAGACGGGTCAGACGTGACTCTGGGGAAAGGGGGTGGGAAGCTGGAGGGGGCTGAAGTTCTCCTCCCCTCCCCTCCTTGCCACTTGGGAGCTCTGAAGTTTGAAGTTTGACAAAGTTTTTGCTTTTTTTTTTTTTTTTTTGAGGGAGGGAAAGGAAAAGGGAAAAAAAAAAAACCTCAAACCACACATACAAAACTTCTATCCACCAACTTTCTCTGGACTCAGGCCTCAGAGCAGAGAGGAAGCAGGGGCTGAAAGAGGTGGCCCAGGGCTTTGGGCCCAGGCGGATTTCCTGGGACTGAGGAAGCCTCCAAGGCCCTGGGCTCACAGGACGGTGTTTTTGTAAAATGCAAAAAGAAAACTATAAAAGTTGCCTCTACAATGTTCCTGAGGAGAGTCCTCCCTGAGCCCTAAGGGCCCTGGGCTCTGCAGGCCATTCCCAGACTCTTGGGGACAGGCACGGGAAAGGGGGGAACATGTGTGCATGTACACATGCCTGTGCAATGCAGGGTCCGGGGCATGCAGTAGGAGGGCTGAGGTATCTCATGCAGTAGGTGGTTGGGTATCTCATTGTGAGAACTGGGGACAGATGGGAGCAGGACTTGGGGACTCCAGCAGTCCGGCTGCCCTTCTGACAGTATTCACGGGGACTTGGGGGCGGGGCCTCCAGGGTGGCAATGGGCCTTGCCCTGCCCTTCGTGCCAGAATCTCCAGGCACGTAGCCAACCAGAATGGCTCTGTCCCTCCTCCACCCCTGGCCCAGCCCACCCAAAGCCAGGGAAAAGGTGAGGCCTGGGGCCAGGGCTTCCAGTGGAGGAGGAGAGCAATGGGGCAGATGCTGTCCTCCTCCTGATAAGACTCCGGCTTCCATCTTTACTTCCACTAGGCGTAGCCCTCTAGCCTTGGGTCCTTGGTCACTTTCTCCAAGGCAGGGGTTGTCGGAGCTAATTATCCAACTAGCTGATCAGCCGGGGGTCCTGGGGACTGCCTGAGGAGGCAGGTTCAGCTGGCCTTGCAAAAGCCTGCGTCCTCTAGCCCTGCCCTGGCCCCTTCTCTGGGACTGGCCCTAAAGACCCTGTCATCTTCCCTGATACCAAGATGCCCCCCACCCCTGCCTGCTCCCCCTTTGCCCGCCTCCACACTCCTACCTGAGACTGCTGTGGGATGTTCAGAAAGTTGCCGTCCCGGGGTCCGATGCTGACAAACCGGTTGGCAGAGGAGGCGCCTGTCGTTGCGAATGCTGTGGGGAGCAGGGAAGAAAGGAAGAGACCCTGTGAGGCCTTGGGGCCCACCTGGGCACTGCCCTTCAGGGCTGCTGAGAGAGGGAGAGACTGGGTTAGACCATGCTGCCTAGGCTTAGGCTGGCGATGGGAAGGACAGGCCAGAGGGCCCCCCCTCATCCTCTCACTGACCTGGAACACAGTGTCCCCCAACCCTGGCACTCTGCCTCAGCCAGATATCCTCTTTCCTGGCCAGGGATGGAGCGGGGGGGCCCTGGAGGCTGCAGCTGAGGTCCCATAGACCCGGTGCTGTCCCCTAACCAGGCACGGGGCAGGGCTGGGGATAACCCTCCTCCTGAAGCACCCACTGGCCCTCTCAGGTCTGGAGAGGAGGCAGCTTGGGAGAGCGGGCGCTCTGGTGGACCGGCCCCACCCTGCTTGGAGAAGGCCATCTCCGCCGGGCTGCCGCTCCAACAGGGGCCGTTAGTTGGGTGCTGTACCACTAACCATCCCGGGCAGTACCAAGGACTGGACCAGTGGCTCAGGGAACTCGAAGGGGCCCAAGGGAGGGCCAGGCTGACTGGGGTGGAGTCAGAAAGGGGCCTAGGACCTGGCTGCCCGCTCAGGCCTGGCAGGCCTTCTCCTCCTCTGATGGGTGAGCCAGGTCCTTTGGTCCTGTGGTCTTTAGGGCCCAAGATGGGCCAAGGCACAAGAGGAGGAGGAGGCAGGAGGGCCTGGCATAGCCCCCCAGGCTTGGGTGCCCAGGGGCAGCTGTTCCGGGGCCTGAGGGAGCAAATGGGCCAAAGACCCCTGAGCTCTTCTCGGGAAGAGCTTGGGAAGCTCCTCAGGGAGAGAATGGGCCCTGCATCCCCAGGAGAGAGGACACCCCTAGAGGGGACTGGGGGGGCCGAAGGCTGCCTGGGAGTACCCCCCATGCCCCACTCGGAACCAGATATACCCCAGGGACCCCATGCTCATCAGGTTGTGTCCAGAAGTGCCTCCCAGCCACCCTATAGCCTGGTCCCCCTCTCCCACCCTGCCCACCTCCAATGACCATGACCATGACTTGATGTCTTATGGCAGATGCAAATGGGAAGATGGCATGAAGAGGACGGAGAGGGGAAAAGAACTCAAACCGTGAGAGAGAAGGTGAGACAGAGAGCGCGAGACGGAGAAAAGTGGTGAGATGGGCCACTCCTCCCACCGCTTGCTGCCCTGGAAGTCCTGGCCTGTGGCCTGCCAGCCCCCAGAGTGCCCAAAGCGCTGCCCACGCCCTGCCCACAGACGGCACGCCTCCACCTCTCCTGTCCCTCACATCGTCGGGTCTACCTTGGGCCTCCCAGCTCAGATTTTTCTCTTCCCTTGGACAAAAGTTGTCATTGGTTTAAAAAAAAAAAAAAGAAAAGAAAAGAAAAGAAAGAGAGAGAAAGAGATGAAGTAAGCCAAGGCCCAGAGCCCTCCCTTGTCCTTGGAACATCCAACCTGGGGAAGGAATTGAGGGAGGGGAGAGGGATGGGAGGGGGGGGAAAAAAAAAAAAGAGGAACAACGAGAAACCAAATGTGAGACTGAAGGGGAGGGGTCAGGGGCTGGTCTGCTGTACCTTTAGAGGCCCGAGGGCCCCGAATGGAGGGGAGGGGGGCACGGCAAAAAGGGGGATGGTGGTGGCGTCGCCTTGTGGTCACATTTAATTTTCTTGGTGTGGGGGCACAACAAAACAACAAAAAAATCAAAAAACAAAAAAAAACGAAAAACGAAAAAAAAAACAGCAATCAGGCATGAAGATGGCATGGCTGCGCCTCCCTGTCCCCTCCCACTCCAGCCAGCACCTGACCTGCGTCCCACTGTACTCCCCCTCCCGCCCCCCCAGGGTCCTGGGCCAGGGGCCCAGGCTGGGAGCAGCGGGCGGGCAGGGGGGCTCGTGGGGTGCTGGCTGGTGTGACTGAGGCCCAAGTGGCTGTGGTTGGGGGGTTCAGCTCTGCTCTCATCCGGGTGGGAGGCTCCGTGGCACTCTGGGTTGGGGGGGATTTGGTGGTGGGCGGGGATAGGGGGGCTTTTCTTTTTGCAGTAGAGACTGTTTGGATGGGCTGGGGACGCTGGGCGTTGTGGTTTCGGTTTCATCGTCCACTTACAAGGTGATGGAGGAGTCAAGGCGGCGCCGTCTGGGGCAGTGCTGGTGGATTTGGAATCAGGCATAGGAAGGGGCACAGGTCTGGCCACTGGAGGCGGCGGCGGTAGCAAAAATGACCCCGGGACTTTGCCCTGGCCGCTACCGTTGGGCTGCGAACAACATAAATAGAGTGACGCATGAAGGCACACCACACACAGACACACGCTCCCCTGCGCGGCCACGCCAGCTCGCTCCTGAGAGCCGGCACTCCCGGCGGAAGGTGCAGGACAGGGTCCTCTCCTCCAGGACACGGGGTGCGTGAGGGTGGGAGGCCTTGATTTGGTCTCTCAGGTGTTTCTCTCTCTTTTTTTTTTTTTTTTTTTTTTTTGGTGATCCTCTTTTGAAGTTGTGGGAGAAGGAAGGGGGGTGTCCGACGGGTGGTTTGTTATTTCTTAGGGAATGTGTTTTAGGTACCAAAACGTGCCACCTAACCACAGAGCAGCTGTACCTAGAACTGTCATGCTCCTGAAGACCTCTTATGGCAGGAAAGATGTACCAGCTTGCCCTCTCCCTTACGTCCCCTGAAAACACACACGTGCCCCTCCTCTGTGGGCCCGTGGGGTGGGGCTGGCTGATCCAACTGAAAACTGCAGGCTTGCCATCATCTGCCCCACATCATGGCCTGGGGTGGGGGGATGCTGGGCATTGGAGATTCGCCCTCAGCTCCAGCAGCCTGAGGTTGGTAGGGTACTGGCCCATTTGCTCCAGAAGAGCCCAGGAGGGCAATCCGTTGCTGCCACTCTAGTTCCCATGAGGCTCTTCAAGTGGACTTCCTTGTACAACTCTCTCAGAAGCCAGGGATGCCTGATCACTAGATCCACTCCTCGTCCTTTGGTTTCCTCTTGTGCCCCAAACTCCAGTTTCCTCCTGCAGGCCCCCTGTGTAGCCTTGTGTTTATCAGCCTTTGGGCTTCTGGTGCCATCGGTGCCACGGGGGGGGGGGGGGGGGGTGTAAAGGTCCCCAGCCTCTTGCAGGCACAGCTTCCCTAAAGAGACCTCCCTGGAGTTCTGGGCACATACCTCCCCATGCGCGAGGCAGTCCCCCAAAGACCACCTACAGCCCGAGCTCAGGGGTCGGGGCCAAAGCTCTTTGTCCTAAACGGGCTCCTATCCCATGGGGCAAAGCTCTGCCCTCCCAGCCAGCCAGGTGAGAGACCTTGGGAGGCGCCTGTGCGCCTTCTGCTGGTGGGCAGCCCCTATGGAGCCCACCCCATTCACGTTTCCAGCCAGCCCATCTTTCTGTCATCACTGGTTTTGCCTGGTCTATGACAGTGAAACTCACAAAGGGTCTCCCCTATGCTGATAGTGTGCTCATCAGTTCTGTGTCCTTGGCACCCGGCTCTGTACCAGGTGCTTTACTCAGTTTTTGTTTGGGGGCACATCTGCCCCCCAGAGGGCACTGGCCATGTCCATAGGCATTTTGGTTAGCACGACTTGGGGGGTGCTACTGGAATTTAGTGGGTGGAGGCAGGGGACGCTGCTTAACATCCTACAACACCCAGGACAAAAGCTCATTGATCCAAATGTTATCAGTGCTGTGGCTGGAAACCTGCTGCAAGAGAAGCTCTATTCTCCCCCTTTCACAACCAGGGAAATTGAGGTTCTGAGCAGCTAAGTGGTTTATCCAAAGTCACCCGGTTGGAACTGGCTAAGCCTGACATTCACAGCCGTGTCCATCTGACTCCAGGGGTCCTATCGATTCTCTCCAGCAGGTTCATCAACCCTCTCCCCCAAATCTCAAGGCGCTCAGACTTCTCCCATTCCCTGAAACCTTCCACAGCTCTGACTGCATCTGATGTAAAATACGGTATCCCCAGTTGGTCATTCAAGGCCCCCATAGTGGAGACCGAGGGGGTCTCCCAGCACTCACACCCCTATACTCCCTTCTCCCAAGTACTTCCCATTGCAAATTGAGTGGGGCTTCCAAACACAGCCTAAGCAATTGGGCTGCACACTTGCTGCCTGCAGAACCCTCTGTCTAGAACGCCCTTTACCACACCCTTCAAGGCCTGCTCCAAGAACACTGTCCCCAGTGTGGGGACCAGCCAGACTCCCTGAACCACCATCCATCTCTCTCTGCCCTGTTCTTCCAGAATGCTCTCAACCTCCACTAGAGCCTTTGAAACAGACCGCCACCCAGGCTCCCCAGCGAGCAACAGAATGTCACCACTGTGTGGCCCATGCATGCAGCACTCAAGTCCCACTGACTGAGTTCAATCAACAAGTCCATCCTGCTGAACTTGAAAACCACAGAGCCCCACGGCTGACCAGTGCAGGCCACGCCCTTCTGAACTCTGGCCGTTCCATCCACCTCTAATGATCGATCAGCATAGGTCTGACACGCTCCCTCCAAATGGTTTCCTTGACTTGATCCTTCCTGCCCACTCAGAAGCCCCTGACAAAAGCAAGCAGTGGCTGCTGGTCCCTGTCTGTGTCCTGGGCTGGAAAACCCGTTTGTGCCAACTATCATTTTGGAAACAGACCATTCATTCCTAGGCACAGGCCAGAAGGATTTCCAGCTTTGCAGGGATAATGCTGAGATACGAGAGGCAACTGTCTTCCCTCCATTCCATATCCTATCTGATTCCTCTCATTCTTCCATCAGGGCAGGAAACCCCACAGATCACAGCCTTACTCCTCTTCTCCAGGCCATCCTAAGCCTGGGCCCCTGGGGCGAGGGGTTGGGTGGGGGGGAGGCTGGGACAAGGGGGCTTTACAGGTAGCCCTTGCTCCCACAGAGCGGCTTCTGCCTCCTTCTAGTCCCCAGAGTCTGTCTCCACCCAGCAGGATCTAAATCGCTAATCCCACCGATAAAGCTAATCCCAGCCCATATGGCAGGACATCGAACCTGCTGATTTACAACATTCAGTTTCTAGAAGCAACTTCCAACCAGATTAGGGTGTCGCAGCTCTGGTTGGGGTACAAGTTGAGGTTTTTAAAATCTCAAGGTCTTGTGACTTTGCAACACCTTAAAACCTCGTGAGTTAAGAGCTAGAAGGAACCTAGAGGCTGGATAGCGCCTCACTTTCATCTGAAAGATGAAGAGGAGGGCCAGGCTGCTCCAGTGTTGGTGATGGAGGCAGAGCTAGGACCAGGCCTCCGGCCTCCCAGAGTCACGCTCTCCCATTGGGCCCTGTAACTTCTCCATCACATTTACTTGGCGGTCTCTGCCAGAAATACAGCTAACCAGGCATCTTCTTTCTGCCCTTTGCATCTCCTCTGAGTGGTGTCTCCATTTGGTGTTGGCCTTTACTGATGTGGTTCTTGTCAATCAGGGCCTTACGCTGGGGTCTGAAGACAAGCCACAGGGCACCTGGGAACCCTTCTGCAAATCATCTGTAAAATTTTTGTTTGCATGTATTTTTCTGCAAAGATGACCTGTAACTTCACATTCTTATGGAAGTTAGGCGTTTACTCCTCTAGGCTCTAGATCAGTGGCTCTCAAAGTGGGTCCCCTGACCGAAAACAGCAATACCATCTGGGAACTTGGGGAGAAATACAGATTCTCAGCCCCACCCCAGACCGGCTGCATCAGAATGAGGTGAGGCCCAGCCACCTGTGTGTTTGGGAGGCTTCCAGGTGACTCTCGTGCATGCTAAGACTGAACACTACTGTTCTGGAGGCGGCCACGGAGCAAGTACAGCCTGTTATGACCACCCCCTGCCACCAGGTCAGCTGCAGAGTGGGAGCCAGAGGCTCTCTCCTCCTCCACAGCATGGTGCCATCTCTAGCCTCCTCTCAGGAGCTGCCCCCCCCCTACACCTCCCCCCCCACTGTCCTGAGCAGGCTCACTGTAGACACCCCCTCCTCTCTTGGGTTCAACAGGCCACAAGAAGAAACCCAGAGAGGCTGATTCCCAGCTGGGTTAGCCTCCCTGTTTAACCAGGGTGGCTGTTTGTCCTACTGTCTACAGTGCTTTGTCCATAGTCTACTCAGAGCAAGCACATGCCTCGAGAAAAGAACTTTCTAGGCCAAGTGAGATCCTAATTTTGAACAGTTGAGTCAACGGAGAGGCTCAGGACCCAGCTGTCAGAATGCCCAAGGGATGGACTCTCTGGGCTAAACTGTTCCCCCAGGCTGGTCTCATTGATTCAAAACCCCAGCTGCCTCTGTAGGTGAGAAGGCAGGGTTCCTGGCCTCTCTGATCCACACTCCAGACCCCAGGCCCCTTGGGGGCTGGGAATTGGACTGGCAGTTCCCATAGACGCTGCTGGCATCTCTGGAGGAAGTGCAGTAGTTGTCAGGGGTCACATTCACTTTTTCCTGAATGCCCCTAAAAGTGAACAGAGCTTGTCCAGTGAGGCAGGCAAGGCTCTGAGTGTGCTAAGTAGCTGAAGAGCTAGCAAAAGAAACCCTCACAGGGCAAAGGGTTAAAGGAGCCAGAAAGTGGAAGGAGGGAGAGCAGGAGGAAGGGAAGAGGGAATGAGGAGACCCTTCCCCATAAGACACCGGCACTTAGCAAACTCCCACCCTGCACAGGGCACTCGGAGCTGGCACTGTTCTCCTGGGCGTCCTCTAGCGTGGGCTTCTGACTGGCTTCCTCCATTCCGGTCCTTTGAGCCACCTCCCCACCCAACCTCTCATATAGTAAGCAGGCTCCCAGGTTGGACCGGCTGGGGGAGAGGAACAGGGCCTCTCATAACGCAGCATGCTACGGGGACTCCAGAACCTTCCCAGAGGCCAAGAGACCACTGTGTCCCAACCCAGAGTGGTCTCCCCGGGACTAAGAGAGGACCGCGATCCCACAATGAAGGGTTGCCTCTGGACTCCCATTGTCTGGGATAATTCCTTTGCTGAGCAATCCCCGTATTTCTGCTCATCAGTGACTGTGCCCTAGGGCTCGTTGACATAGAAGGGCAGTGCCCCCACTCCCCTGCAGAGCACCACAGGAAGCCAGTCTCTCCCAGGCTGAGAAGCAGGGCTTTGCTCCAGAACCATAAGTGACCTGGGAACCCCTTGTTGAGAGTCCTGCCAACAGGAGTCCCCATGACAGCCCCTGTGGACTGGGGCCCCTCACCCAGGGGTAATGATGCCCCCAGGGCATGCCGAAGTCTAGAGACATTCTTTATTATTATTATTTTTTTAGCTGAGCCATCCTGCCACCTGTTGGCAGCTCAGCGGCAGCTCAGCTCGGGCTGGGAATCAAACCGCTGTTGCTCAGAGCTTGCACTCTTGAGTGAGCTCTTAACCAACTGAGCCATTCGGCTGACCCTTGGAGACATTCTTGATCATCATAACTGGGAAGAGGACAGTGCTGCTGGCTTCCATTGGGTGGGGCCAGTACCCCAGTGCTCAGGATGGTCCCACGCCACAAAGAGTGAACAGCCCCAAATGTCAAGCGCTGAGGTTGGGAAACCTTGGTCTAGCACCTACCATATTCTTGGCAGCCCTGAGGTTTAAGAAGGGTGTTAGGAGGTAAGGGGCCTGGCCTGGGTTGGACAGCTCACGGGTGCACTCCTGCTGGGGGAATGGAGACCGTGAGGAGGGCAAGGGACCCGAGCAAGGTGAGCCCAGCCACTGCCCCCACAGACCCCGACCCCAGACCATAAAACTGAGGTGTTCGCACTACTGGCTCTCTGCTGCTCCAGCCCCAGGCGGGCTCCTGGCTCTTGGGCCCTCTCCCTGTGACCCTGACACAGACGGACAAACGCAGAGATGAGCTGTGGCGGGGCTCCTGGGCCTCTGGACTCACCTGTCCAGTGGCCTGGCCCGAGCCATCTGAGCACACGAACTGCACAAACTCCTTCAGCGAGTCCTGCCCGTGGTGGTGGTGGTAGCGGATGGTCGGGTGCGTGAAGTACGGACTCGACTGCTGGATGATGGATGTGGAGGGGAAGTGCAGAGCTGACGCTGTGGCCCGAGGGCTCCCTGCATGCACGTGGGCAGGAAGAAAAGGGCATCAGGGGATAGAAAATGAGGGGAACTGCTGGTCAAGGCACTGAGGATCCAGAGGAAAAGGGAAAATGGGCAGGAGCAGGGCTGGGACCAGGGTCAGGAGAGTGAGGCTCTGGCCTCTGGCGTGAAAATGGAAATGGCGCCAAAAACCCCAGTAATCAAGGTAAATAACATTTTAATGCAATATTTTAAAAAATCAAATTGCCGAACTAGGCCTGCACGCCAGCTGCTTGTCTTCATAAATAAAGTTTGATTGGAACCAGGACGGGGGTTAAGGAGAGGCAAGCAAGGCAGGGTCATACAAGTGCAGGGTCAGTCCCATCTTTTGTTCAAAATGTTGAATATTTGTTCATTGTCTGTTTTTGCAATAGCTGTAATTTTTTTTAAAAAATACTGCATTAAAGCATTATTTATCATGACAACTGAGATTTTTGGGTGCCCCTGACATTTGGGTGCCGAAAATAAGTACCTCACTCCCCTCACCCTGGTCCAGGGCTTGAGTGGGAGCCTGGATGAGGGAGGAGAGGAGGCAGACACAACCCCACACCTGTGCAGGGCAGGCCCCCCGCAATGCACACACATGTCTCCTGCATGTGAGCGCGTGTGCACCTGGCCACTGCTGCCCAGGCAACATTCCTGTGTGCTCAGCCCTGTTACACTCGCACATGCATCCTCACACACCAGACCTCGCACACACAATCCTACCCCTGCACTGGCCCCAGCTCTTCCCCAGCCAGTCCTCCCCCTCCGGTCTGTTTTCAATCAGCTTGCTCTTGCTCTCGGTTTCATCAGGGGGCTGAGGAAACTTGGCTTCTCTCTGGAGTTCATAAAAGCTGAGTGGAGCTGGGCCTGCTGCCTCTTGCAGCCCAGGGCCTGGGCTCCCTGCCCCCACCTTGAGGCCACCACGCCCTGCCCCAGCACAGGCTGCCTCTGGGCTCCCAGCCAGGAGGCCCCGAGGAGGAAACTGGGAGGGTAAACCTTGCTATTCTCTGTGTCCTATTGAAGGGCCCAGGAGACAGCGGGCTGACACAGGGCAGTGTCCAGAGAAAGTCCAGGCCTCTTTCTGCCAGATGGGTGCCGAGGGCAGGAAGAAGCAAGTGAGGGAGTGGCCAGGCTGAGGACTCAGCTCCCACAACTTCCTGCCTGATTCCATCCCCTCAGGAACATGGAGGTATTCTCCCCATCAAGCACCTTCTCTGGACACTGAAGCAAGGGAGCCCCCAAGTCAGTGGGCGGGCTCCGTTCCCAGGAGAGCAGCTCAGGTGCCGCCTTTGGTCCTCTTGGCCTAGCCCTTCGCTTTCTCGAAATGGGCAGAGAGGCTCCAAGAAAGAAACCTGGGCTCCTATGAGTGATTTTGTCAATCTGCGCACCACATCAACTTGGGTTGGTTCTGGGAAACCAGACCCTGGAAACCAGGCCAGGAGCTGAGAGAGAAGAGCTGAAAGGAGGGCAGGGGGAGAAGCCCGAGCTTCCTCATCCACAGCTGGCAGGAGGAGAGGAGAACGGGCAGGCCTGAGGGCTCTGCAGTCCAAGGGGAAGTCGGAGGAGGCCTTAAGACAGGCCTGAGACGCACACAGCACCCCTGTGTACACATATCCACACACACACACACACACATGCGCACTCATGCTAGCACACATGTACATTCCCAAGTGACACATATACCCAACGAATGCACACACACAGCACATGCACAAGCACGCACACACATGTGCGCATGGGGAGTGAGAAGCAAGTGGGAGGGTGCTTGGGAACAAAGTGAGGAGGCCGGGGGGGCTGGCTGGTGGCTGGTTCTCCAGTTGGTGCTGCAGTGGAAGGAGGGCCGTTCCCTTGCCCACCCGCTGCCATACCACAGCCCCCTCAGAGAGCTTGGGGCTGTCATTTGGGTGGACTCTGGCCCCTTCACCTGGCCAGCTGCCCCTCAGTGCTCTGCCACCTCCCCCAGGTCCCCTTCCGGGGGGGCCCCCATTTCTCACCTGGTCTGACTCCAGCAAGCACAGGCAGCGGGTGGTGAGTGAAAGCCATGCGCGGGGAGCTGCCCTGAGAGGAGAGGGCACTGCAGAAGTCCAGCTTTCCTGACTTCTTTAGAGAAGCCGGGCCTGGGGGGAGGAATCAGCAACACAGGGCAGGTTTAACTGGGCCGGGGCGGGAGCAGGGAAAGGCGGGAAGCCAGCAGCTCACTCTGTCTCTCCTCCGCCCCCTCCCGGCTGCCCCTTCCCCCGCTGTGCTCCTTCCTGCCTCCTTTGCCCCATCCGGCCAGCTGTGGGTGCTTCTCTGCTAGGAGAGGAAAATGAGGCTCTTGGTAGCGCTGGGCAGGGAGTAAGTGTGTGTGGGGGGGATCTTGCCCCCTGATAAGCGTATAACAAGCTGAGGGGGCACAGATGAAAGGGGGCCAGGAAGGGCACTAGGGGCAGAGGCAGACAGGAAAGAACTCTCTCTAGGTCGTTTCAAGGCTTTATTTTGCTCCCGGTGCCAGAGATGGGGTGGCATTCAGCAGGAGACAGGGCCACAGAGAACTCTCCTCAAGGAGCCTGATGATGCCAACCAAGGTCATCTTTGTGCCCAGTGGGCGCCATGTCCAAATGATGCTATGCCAAAGCAGTGCCCCGGGGCCAGGTCCTCCAGGGGAGCTTGTCTTGCCTGGGCTGAGCCTCAAGGCTGTGCCCAGGCTGGGAGGGGTAAGGTGGAGTCCGGGCAGATCTCCAGAGCTGCCATCTTTGAGTCACAAATCAAGTCAGTTTGGGTGGGGGGCGAGGGCTGCAGAAAAGAGAACTAAGAGCCACCTTAACCGCAGAGGGAAGGGGGTGGGGAGCAAACTCCCAGCCAGAAGAGGTGTTATCTGGCGGCAGCTGTGTGCCACCTGATAGCTGGCACGGTGGGGGAGGGGGGAGCGCCCCCACCAGCTGTGCACAGCTGTTCCTGCTGCCACACAGTGCCTCCCCAGCTGTTTCCAGTCCTGCAGCTGGGCTGCTTAATTGGCGATTTGTCTCAGCACAGGGAAACAACATGGGAAGGGTGTAAGAAGGAAAAGAGGGGAAAGCGAGGAAGCTGGGGTGCTGCAAAAAAATGCTGGGGGCCGTGCATGGCAGGACTGCTGGAAGGAGCAGAAATGGTGGGGTCTACTGCAGACAGCCAAGAAGGAAAGAGCAGGAACCTGGAGAGGCGGGCTCCTTGGGAACAGGTCTGGGCAGAAGGTCTAAGGGCCGCCAGCCTTGGTGGGGGCACGAGGCCTTGTGGAAGCAATCACTTAACCGAGACCTTGGCTGGGGAGTCTTCAGGGCTTTCTCAACCCTTTCTCTCTGCACCTCCTGAGGTTCCTCAGGGAAGCATCTGGGCTGTGCTGGCCCAGGTCCCCTCCTGCCACCACAAGATCCTGGGAGGGGCACCCAAAGTCATGTGGAGCGATGTCCCACAAAGGCGAGCCTCAGTGGTGGCCTAGAGCCTGTTCCCTCCGCCCGAGGCCAGGAGGTGAGCCCTCCTCCCCTCCTCCTAGCAGCCAGAGCAGAAGCTGATTCTGTGTCTGGGGCAGCAAAAAAGCAGGAGTGCCTCCCCACCCTTCCGCCTTGCTTCTCCCCCAGCCCAGCCCCCCCGGCCCATCCACTTGGCCCTTCCCAGTAGGGACACATTTGGAAAACAGCAGGCAAAGCACCATCACCATCAGGTCAGACCTTCATCTTCCTGTGTTGGAGATCAAAGCTCCTGTCCCCAGGCCTGAGCAGAGCATAGGTGCCCTGTGCACATTCCACACACTCATGGCTGAACTCCTTGGCCCCAGACACCCACATCTCAAGGACACACACAGGCTGCACCACCAGTGTGTCAGGCAGAAGTATCCTTCAGCCAGCCTCCATACACACCTGCATGCACACAGGTGCGTGCGCACACTCATGCGCGCGCGCGGGCAACTCCTTCTATTCCACCTGGGCTCTCCAGGTCAGCCCACGCCTCCTGTCAAGACTGGAAGTGACAGTGGGTGGGTTCACCAGGTAGGGGGTAGTCTGTGGGGGTTTGGAGGACTGAAGACAGCTCCCCTCACTCTTTACCAGACTCTACTCCTTTCTATGAAGTTGGGCTCTTTAGACGAGCAGCTCTGAGCTTGGTCAGCTCAGGGAGATTCTGTCCTCTGCTCCCCGGGGCACATTCAGCAATGTCTGGAGACATTTTTGGCAGTCACACCTGGTGTGTGTGTGGGGGTGCTACTGGCATCTAGTGGGTGGAGGCCAGGGATGCTGCTCAACACCCCAGAGTGCCCAAGACAGCCCCACCCCCAGAGAATGCTCTGGCCCCAAATGGCAGCAGTGCCCAGTTTCAGAAACTGCTTTAAACCATAAAGAGCAAAGGGCTAGGGCAACCTCTCTGGAGAAATACCAAGATAACAAAGCTGAGAAGGCTCTGAAGAGGCCACAGCCCCGCTTCTTCCCACCACGCCCGTGGGCTCTGCTACCCACTCAGTGACAGCCCCGCTCATCCCTGCTCCCTCCTTCGGTCTACATCTTCCTCTGAAGGATCAGGAGATGAGAAGCTGGGTAAGTGCCAGCGACGGTGGGAGAATCGCCAGGTAAACTGATGGGGAGGAAGAGGCTCTGGGCCGCCCCTGCTCTGGGCCAGGCCCCGTGGCGCCCGTACCTGCATCCACATCGTTGGGCCACCCACTGGACTGGCTGCTGCCAGCTGCTGGGGAGCGGCCTGTCCCAGGATAGAAGACATCATCAACAGGGCTCTCCATCTCACTGTCATCGATGGACTTGGGGCGCTTGGTGGTGCTGGGAAAGGAGGAGAGGGATCAGGTGGGCCAACGGTGGGCCAAGGCACTAGTACTCAGGCCAAGGAAGCCTGCACTGCTGGCCCTCTGTGTTAGGAGCAGGTGCCTTCTGACAGCAGCGCTTCTGGGCACTCACTGCATGCCCACCCCCAGACCAGCCTGAGAGCCCCTTAGGCCCAGCCCGCCTCCTCCTCCTCCTCCTCCTCAAGTCCTTTCTTGGTCTGTGACACCATCATTCACCGAGCTGCCCAAGTCAGAGAAGCAGGGCAAAACCCTCAACTGCTTCTCTGGCCCCACCTTCTACTTCCCATCAGCCCCCAGAACCAGGCGAGGCAACTGAGGCGCTCACCAGGGACAAAAATGCCAGTGGGTGCCACAAAACTTTGTCATCAAGCTATTATTTTATATTAACTATTAAATATGAAAATATTATAACATTTGAATGCAATATTTAAACAAATCAAAACGAATACCAAAAACCTCACAAAGAATAAAAATGTCCAAGTTTTTTTAAAAACGAGACAGGATCCCACCCTGCCCTTCACAACTGGCTGTGTCCACAGGCTACTGTGTCCACCCCCAAACATATCTCAACTATACCCCTCCCTCATGCTACTCCCCTAGCTCCAGGACTCAGCCCTCTTCCACTCCAGCCTGGCCAAGGGCCTCTAACTGGCTGTCAGTGGTACCTGCACATGCGGCTGCTGGAGGTGCTTTCTGGAACACATCCCCAGATCTGCTTAAAAGCCTTCAGTGGGTTTTAAGTCTAAGGGCCTTTCTCTGGCCTCTGGAGCCCTCTGTGGGGTGGTCCTGCCAGCATGTCCAGCCTCAGCTGGGAGAGAGGGCACTGACTGTAGTTGGAGTGTCTACCCATGCCCTTACCAGCCCCCTGTATATCTGGGCTCAAATGTCACATCCCCAAGAGAGAGACCTTCTGGGATCCCCACTGGGAGTGCCTTCCAGGCAGAGCCATGCCTTGTTCAGGTTTGTGTTCCCAGGGCCCAGTGTTCAGGGCAGCACAAAGTAGAAGCTTCAGGGGGTGGGGAGCACAGTGGGCTCTGGCTGCTCTGGAGTCAGTGCCATCAACGAGGGGTGACATTTTGAAGCACCCAGGGAACTGGGGTACAGCTGCCCACAACACACAAGATGGTCTGAGGGGCAGGGGGAAGGTTGGAGTCCTGGGCTCACCTGGTGGAAGGAGGGGAGGTGATGGACCGCCGCCCCAGGGTCACCTGGTTTATGTTGTAGTAGCTGGGACTCTCCAGGTCTGCCAGCGAGAAGTTGGGCCCTGATGCTGTGGCAACAGGAGCTGGGAAGAAGAGAGAGGGTGATTAGTTTGGAAGGTGCGGGAAGCCCTATGGGGCCTGTTTTGTTGCCAAGAGCAGCTTCCCAGAAGCCCTAAGGCAAGTTCACTGGGAAGCTTGCTGAGGAAACCTCCTCTGGCTGAGGGTCATTAAAGAAGAGCCCTCAGTTGTGATTTTTTTTTCCCCTCCAAAGCAGAGATTAGAGATGGGGCTCTCTGGATGGATACCTCTGCTCCACCCAGCCTGCTACCAATGAGGCAGACAATGTCCCAGGGAACCCTGTCTGCTCCCTCCCCCAGCAAGACCCCATCAGTGGGGGGCCACCTCCTTACCCCATTTCTGCTGACTTAAGTCCTGACCCCGAAGGAAGGACTTACTCTGTGATACTCTGACCAGCTCCGTCACATTCCAGACCCCAGAAGTCACAAAACAGTCCTGGAAACTTAAGTGCCCTGAGGAGGGAAAAGAGGGAGTGAGTGGAGGCGAGGCTAGGAGGGGCTGCCTCAAAGCACTCCCCACCTCCCCACTTGCTCCCTCCCAAGCCCCAAGTCCCAGCCCCAGGCTGGCCCTCAGGGGTCCTCAGGTCTACAGGGAAGAGGAGGTATGCTTCAGGTGAGCCCCCTCCTTTACAGCTGGCAGTTCACCTGAGGGACAGCTGCGTAAAGGGGAAGAACCAGGGAAGACAGATGAGCCGAGGTGTGGGAGGGTAGAGAAGGGCATGGGGGTAGGGTAGGCAGGGGGGTTGTGGGTGGGAGGGCAGGTGGCAGGGACACTGACCATTGGGCAGTGGTTTGATGTCCGCATCTCCTTGCTGGTTTGAACTATCTGATTGTCCGGATTCTGCAGGAGACACAAAGGGGGGATGGGTCAAAACCAAAGTGCCCCACAAACAGTTACTCCTCCGGCCCTGTAAACACCTTCATCCTCCCTCTCCGAGCAGCCCAGGGAGACCCGTAAGACCAGAAGAGGGAGAAGAAACTACTCTATTTGGTGGGGAGTCCTGGGCACTGCAGAGTGTTTGGTAGCATTCGTAGCCTCCACCCACTAGATGACAGTAGCACCCCAGTGGTGATAACCAAAACTGTCTCCAGAAACCGACCGATGTGCCCTGGGGAAACATCGTCTGTGGGTGAGCAGCATTGTCAGAGTCAGGGCAAGGAGGGCGCCCAGGAGAGAAGCCAATGACCATCTCTGCACAGCTGGGATGGATCCAAGGGTCCCCCATCCTCCACCCGGCCCAAGTGCCCAGAGGAGCAACCCCTTCCTTCCCTCACTTCATTAATTAGAGCCATTCCTGTCTGCCTGCGCCACCCCCACCTCACCTTTATGCTTATAGGCAGTGCCTGGCAACACAGAGGGGGGAGGTCTGCCCTGACGCCGTCGCCCGCTCTGTGCCAGCCTGTCTGGGCTGTCTCATGCCCCAGTGCCACAGCTGCTCAGAGGGAGCCCCGAGACAAGGGCCCATTGTGCGGTGGGAGCTCACAGAGGACTGGGGGCAGGGTGGAGTGTGTGTGTGAATATTTTGCTGAGCTTGGGAAAGCCCCCTGCCCCCGCCCCCCAGGTCCTCAAAGCTTTGTGTGCCAGGGGCACAACGGGGACCTCCAGAATGCCTGCCTGGGCATGACAGCTGGAGAGAGGGTGGCGGAGGGGGGCCAGGGCAGGTTGTGGGGCAGGAGAAAGGCAGGCGCTTGGTAGAGAATCAGCGGCTCACAGAGGGACAACACAAGGTGGCATTGGGAAAACTGGGCACTGGTGTTGGCCAGGGCTTTGCCCGACTCTTTGGAGTGATCCTGCCTCCTGGGTCTCACCCACCACCCTGCGGTCAGTCTGCTGGCCAGGAGTCCTCCCCGCACCGGCCTCACGGCTGAGCTGCTTGCATCGGGGAGTGCCCAGCAAGGAGATTCCTAAATGGTAACAGGGGCCCCCACTGGAGCTGGCATGCAGAACAGCAGCCTTCTCAGAGCAAAGGGCTCACCACGGCTCAGACCAGTTCCTGGCCGCCTGCCTCAGTGCGGCCAGCGGGAAAGGATGAGCTGCCCCCCAGTACGGTTTCAGGCTCCATTTCCCCCATTCTTACCTCGTTCAATTTTTTGAATGCCAAAAATGAATAATAAATAATAATAATAAATTAATGAATTTTGTTACAAATCAAGAAAACAGAGGTTTAAAAGTAAAGTGCTAATGGGAGTCCCTCACACGCTCCAGTTTGGGGTACATCCTCCCCTGTGGTGTGTTTGCAGATGGCTAGTCCCACCCCAGGCCAACTCTTTGTTAGTGGCACTCTGCTGTGGAGAGAACCTACGGGACCTCCTCCTAAGTTCTGGGGAGGGCAACCTCTCTGCCATGGCATCTTGTGGGTGTGAATTTTCTGTCACCCTCTCACCTGGGCCCATGCCTGGCTTTCTATGTCTGATTCAAGCCCTAGCTAGGCCAGAAGGGAGCAGGTGAGGGTCCAAGGCAGCAGGCAGCTCACCCTAGGGCCTCATTGGACCCAGGCCCTGAGGCTGCTGCCTCTCAGGGGTGCCCTGTCCCCAATTGCTAACTCGGGAAGAGCAGAGGCCCAAGACCAGCTTGCAGAACCTAGCAAGGGGCACATACTCCAGCCTTTGCTGCCCAGAAGCCCCTGCTACCTGACCCACCTGTCCCAGGACCGACTCAGTCCCCACCAAGCCCTCCAGGCCTGAGTCAGCGGAGTTGGGGAGACGGAAGGGGTCCCGGAGTCCACCCCACGGGAGTGGCTCGCACCCTCTGAAAATGGACAGGTGGAGACGGAAAGCCTTGCGCACGCGCACACCCAGCACAGGGACAGGAAGACTAGAGAGAACCCGACAAAGAGATGGAGGTGGGCCAGCGACTGAGGCAGAGACAAATGGGGCTCCAGGAGAGCGCGACAGACAGGAAATCCTCCTAACCAGGACACTGCCCCAAACGTTATTGCTGTTATTACTATTAGCTCCATGTAGAGAAGCAAGCAGGAGCGAAGATCGGCGCGGGCGAGGCGGCTGCCACGCGCCTCTGGGCGCTGCTCCGGGCACTGCTGGCAGCCATTTTAGCCCTTGGCAGCCATCTTACGGCTGGCGGCCCCAGCCGGCGGCCCCACAATGCCACCGCCGCCGGCCGGGCATGCTCAGCTTAGCTCCAGGACAAAAGGCAGAGACACTGGAAATCTGGACACAGGCTCGGAGGCACAGGAGCCAGCCCTGCGGCCCGGGCAGCTGTGGCCAGGGCCCCCCCATCCTGCTCAAGCTGCACCGGCACAGAGCAGAAGGGGCAGGGAGGGCTGAGCCCAGGCACCTGGGAACACCACGCCTCACTCAGAGGCAGCTGAAGCCCCCACGGGCCGTCCTCAGGCTCAAGGGCTCCACTAGTACAGCAAGAGCGGACCCCTGTCCCCACAGGACAGTAAGGGACGTGATGGGGGCAGGCTGTGTCAACCCAGCCAGTTTGGGAGGGCGCCTTGGACAGACAGGGGGAGTGAGCCGGCAGGAACCCAGCCGGTGGCTGCAGGGCCCAGACAGGCTGTTGGGCCCGTGGTGCACAGGCTCCCGGGGAGGACATGGAGAAGCCCTCCCCATCCAGAGATAGGGGACAGCCTGGCTAGCTTTCCTAAACGAGGGGCTCTTTGGCGAGGCCCTGAGGTCAGGGCCTGCTCTGGACAGCCCCTGGGGAGCACACAACACCCCAGCACCTTGACCCCCTTCCCTGTCTGGGCTCCCTGGGGGAGGGGATAACCCCAGGCCTCAGGACAGACAGGAGGAAGGCTCCAGGCCCCTCCTCATGGCTGCTCAGCTTTTATCTGGCAGAATGGGGCTTATCAGAAGCACCAGCTGAACAAACACACAAATCCACGGTTAGTGAGAGAAAACCCTCTGCCTGAACTCTTTATCTCCTGTTCGCAGGCCCCACGCACTGCCCCCTGCCAACAGCACAGGAGGAGACCTGACTGCTATAAGCGGGGGCTCCTCTCTCCACGGCCCCCCTTCTCCCCTCGCCCCTGACCCAGCACGGGGTGGCTCTCCCCTGGCAGTCCCTGCCAGGCAGGCGTGCATGAGTGAGCTTCTGCCACATAGGAGCCCCCCTCCAGTGTCTGCTTTCTCACCGGGGACAATGGGCCAGCTGGTGGCCTTCGGGCCAGTGGAGGGGCAGGGACAGAGTTGGCTGGCACAAGGCAGGCAGGTGCCTGGCTCCATCTTTTATCCTCTCCCACCCAGCCCACATCCCCGAGGCTGTCACTCTGATTCCCCAGCCTTCCGCGGCCACATCCTCTGGCAGTCTTTCCAGCCTCAGCCTTCTCTCAGGCCTTGTCACCCTCATCACCACCCCCCCAGTTCAGGGCCACCCTGACTAAGGCCAGCACAGATACCCAGACCCCCCTGCCTGCACCTCTCTTCAGAGACTACTGCTGCCTTCACTTCCTAGAGAGACTGGAGGTGGCACAGAGACAAAGGGCTGGGGCACCGCTACCTCCCCTCGGCCCGAGACAACTCAGCGTTTTCCTCCATCCCGCGTCCTGCGTTGAGAACCAGGGAACGCCTTCTGTGCTCTAAGCTTCCTCCCACAATGCCCAGCCTATGAGGCCTCCTCAAAACCAAATCCAGCCGCTATGTCCAACGACGGATGCCTGGGCAGACAGACATCAGGACCCCTGCCCCTGGGCCAGGTTGGGGATGGAGAGAATTTTGGAGCCCACAGCTTGTTCTGGTTGCTGCCAGGGGGTCAGGCTCGCTCGTGTGTCTCTCTCTCTCTTACACACACACACACACACACACACACACACACACACACACACTTGCCAGTGGTGCCTGGGGGGCTCTGGCCACTGAGGAGGCTCCCAGAAGGGAGGACTATGCAGGAGCAGCTGACGAATCTGGACTGTCTCAGCATGGACTTGAGTGGGCTCTGCAGAGCAAGGATCTGAAATGGGATTTGGCTCCTGGGTTCGGGGCTGCTCCCAATCACCTGCACGCGTCATCAGTAACCCCCATGTCAATGGCTTGTGGACCGGTGGACATAGGCAGCACCCAGACCTGGGTGAGGCACAGCTGACAGTTGGCAGTGTGGGCCCTTCTCTTCCTCTATCCCTCTGTATCCCCTGGGACAGCCACAAAGCCCCCCACCCCAAGTACTGTTTTTCACACACACACACACACACACACACACACACACACACACACACACGCTCTACCTTCTCAGTCCTTGAAGTTCCTACTTCATTCATTCAGCTCTTAGCCTCTCCCTTTGGAATCTGCTGTCTGGGCTCTGCACCCCTCACTCTGTCCTTCCTTCCCCTTCACTTTCCCTCTCTCTGGCCTTCTTTCCTCTCCCGCTCCTGCCTGTTTGCATGCATGTGTGCATGTGCACACGTGTGCGTGTTTCCAAAAGGGCTCTGCCTCTTTGTCGGAGCTCCGGAGCTCTCCAGCTGCCACGAGGAACCTAGCACCGCACATGCACCCGACTAACAGCACGTTTTTTTACATATATTTTTTCCAGTCACAGGCGGGGAGATATTTATGGCTCCCGCTAGGTGAGGGAGGAATTCCTGCTCACTGCAGCAAACACTGCCTCAGCTTCCAGCAGAGACAAATTCTGAGAGAAGGCCAACATGTAACTTGCGGGCCGCCCCCACGCTCATCACTGATGGAGCAAGTTCTTCAGGGCTGAGAGGGGCACACAGACCCGGCTCAACTACACTCACACATGCGTACCCACGCGCATGTGAACACGCGGGTGACCACAGCTTGGAGATGCCACCAGCCATTTCCTGCTGTGCTGCAGGGGTGGAGTGAGTGGTGTACCTAGATCTGTGGTCCCACTGTGCAGAGCATGCTCGGAGCTACGCA